TAAGCAATAATATCTTTTCTCTCATTGGGGGAAAATACAGTGAAGGTGTGCACTGTTTGCCGGGAAATTGCTAGAGAAGAAAAGATTAAGCAGCTGAACCCTCTGCCATTTTTCTCCTCCAATGGCCAGTCTCCCTAGTATAATTAGGGCTATAATACAAAAAACAAAGCCAACAGCTGAATGCCATGAACGGTTCCTTTAATAAAACAGCAGGAAATGCCTGTTGTGCAATGAAATTAAGACTTGTTTTCCTCATAACCATTTTCCTTAATTTGTTTAATAACTATCTTGACTCCCTCAGGTTCCTGAAAATTTGGAGAAAGTCATGAGCAATTGCTGTCTTGAAACCTGGCAAAGAACACACAGATCCCAAAAATGTGAGTAAGATTTTGCTACTTTGTCACCTGGAAGGTCTGGAAACAATTATTCTTAACCAACTAATGGAGCTGGGGGAGTGTTCCTCACCCCACAGCAGGCTGGCTTTACACCTGGGAAGAACTGTCCAACACAAATTCTGCATTTAAAGCAAAGTACTGAGGACAACTTCGAAACTAGGAAGGTAACAGCCTTAGTTTTTGTTGACCTCTCATCTGCCTATGAAATGGTTCATCATCAAATATGACTGCAAAATTTCTATAATTGAACAAAGAGTTTTAAGTTAACTAAAGTAATGGCAACCCTTTTGCAAAACTGCAGAATTTTTTGTTAATTTTCAAGGACAATGCTGCCAATGGAGGACTTAAAATAATGGTCTTTTCCATGGCAGTGTGCTGGCTCCAACTTTGTTTAACATCAAGACCAACAACCAAACACTTCTTAAAAGCACCTAAAACTTTATTTATGCTGACAATCTTCTATTGTTCGGTTGGATAGTTTTCAGAACATCTCTTAACAGATGCATCGGAAGAACCTGGGTGTCTACTGTGTGACAGACATCGATTTAAACCCAACCCTGCTAAGACTCAAATGTGTGCCTTTCATTTCAGAAACAAGCAGACATCTCAGAAACATCAGGCTGCCTGGAAAGGCATCAACTAGATCATTGTTATGCCCCCATACCTAGCTATTACTTTGGATTGTACACTAGGAAACAGTGTCAAAACAAAAAGCAAAAGATTCACACAAAGAAAAATATGGTTTGAAAGTAATCAGGAACTAACTGGGGCACTGTAGCATAGCCCGCTACAGGCACACAACCGCAAATATTAAGAACTACAGCTTTGGCCCTAGGTTGCTCTGCTGGGAGATATAGGCCAGTCCCGTGTGATATAGTTCAGCCCATGCAAAGTAGGAAACAATGAAGCTGTGGAATCAGTAGCAGATGCCTGGACCCAACCCCTATTCATAAGATCAGTTACTTAGAAGGCATTGCACTCAGTGAAGTATGGAGAACAGAGACAGCTAATAATAAAAAATGCAAAGCATTTACATCAGGTGCACATGCACTCTGACTACCATCCTGTCTCTCTCAGATTCAAATCAAGGAATTTTTAAAAAAAGAACATATGGGAATCCAGAAGAAATCGCAGAAAGTGCCAGGACTATAATGTAGAAAGAATGAACTAACCACCTCTTAAATGGAATGCAACCTCTGGAAAATGCAGCTCCCAGTCACAAGACAACTGGATTACTTGGAAGTAACTCAATAGGTTATGAACTAGAGTTGGCAAAACCAAGGTGAACCTCAGAAAGTGTGGCTTTAAGATCAACACATTTTTTTGTGAGTAAGGAAAAGAATGGGCAACCTCACACCTGCAGTATATCACAAAAGTGAGCACACCCCCTCACATTCCATAAATATTTTAGTATATCTTTTCATGTGACAACACTGAAGAAATGAGACTTGGCTACAATGTTAAGCAGTGAGTATACAGCTTGTATAATGCTGTGTAAATGTACTGTACCCTCAAAATAACACAACACACAGCCATTAACGTCTAAATCATTGGCAACAAAAGTGAGTACACCCCTAAGTGACAATGTCCAAACTGGGCCCAAGTAGCCATTTTCCCTCCCTGGTATCATGAGACCCATTAGTGTCACAAGTCTCAGGTGTGGTCACTGGAAGTTCTCACTTTGGTTGCCAGCTGTGTTGCTTCTGATACAAAGAAAGACTATTTTAACTGTTTAATCTTTCTAAGATGGAGAGAACTCACTGCCAAGCTTCAAGCTTTATTTTCTTGTCATGGTATCCCAAGAGTTGTGTGCCATTTGTTGGTCAAGCGTTCCAAGTGTTTGTTCATCGTGATTCAGGACTAGAGCAATGTTTTACATAGCAGCCCATGATATCCACAGTTTAATGGCATGTCTGAAAGTGAAATTCCATCTATCAAATTGCTTTTCAAGAAAGCTGAAGATTTTGGAGGATGAGGCATTACTTCAAGATAATGCTTATATTCAGAATATCTGGAAAGCAGACACAAGCCAGTTATTGGACTGCTGTGTTCCCCTGTTCAAATACTGATAGATAGGATGCTCCAAGGACTATTAAGACCTTTTGGAGGCCACCAATTCATAGGGAGACCATAAATCCAAATGATCTGAAGCTACAAGAAGACACCTAGAGGCAACCTTCTAGTAACAACCAAGCTACTGTGTCATAAGGCACCTCCCAATATACATGGTGATCTTCAGATGATTCAGTGCACACAAAAACAATGTTATGACTGCACTGCAAAGCCACTCAAATACCTCAAAGAAGGTTACTCAGTATGTATGGACCCAACAAAGGCTGGTAACCCACATGGCACCACTAGGATTTCAAGATAGGAATTCAAAAGCTATGCTAATTAAATGTTCTAGTTCAGAAATTAAGTGTTTTAGCTCAGGTGACCCTTGTCCCGTAGAGAAGAACTTTGTGTATAACACCTTTGGCACTCCGAAAGGTAATACTACTCAGGATGGCACTGCCACCTCTGAGACCTGTGGTCCTCCCAATGGGAAAAGTCTGCCCATGTGGGCAACATCTCATGGCAGGCCTAGCACACTTACAGGACTATGTTCTTTACGAAGAATGGTGGTAAAGATCATGAAGAATTTTACTAATATTGTTCATATCTCACCCAGTTTTATGTATAGGAGTATTAGCCCAAAAATCTAAGCATATATGAAGGTATTGTATCTACAGTGGTGCCTCGCTTAACAATGTTAATTGGTTCCTAAAAAAACATGGCTACGCGAAAACATCGCTAAGCGAAACACCATTTCCCATAGGAATGCATTGAAAACCGGATAATCCGTTCCAATGGAAACGGATGACCATCCTTAAGCGAAAATCGCCATAGGAAACATCGCTAAGCGAAACAATGTTTCCCCCATTGGAATGCATTGAAGCCTATTCAATGCATTCCAATGGTTTTGACAGGTCCATTTTCGCTATTTTTAAAGTGTCTTAAAATGTTTGAAACCTGTTTTAAATGCTTGGAATTGTTAGTGCACCTTGTAAAACCTTTGCAGAATTAATTTGGCTTTGTTCTGACTCTTCGTTAATTTTTGGTGAATTTTTCTCCCCATTGGAATGCATTGAACTGTAGGTTTGACAGCTGTCAAACCAGGTTTCAAACCAGGTTTCAGTGCACTTCAATTGTTTTGACAGGTCCATTTTCTAATCTGTTCTTAGAACTGTGCAACTAACAGAATAGATTCAGCAAACTTACACAAACGTTTAAGAGATTTTCATGTTTAGTGGAAAACAACAGTACAAATCATAGACACACAAATCAGTGCACTAGTGAAAAACAGCAATACACACAAATTAGTATTTGCAGTTAACACACATACATAGATGGTGTTGGAATACAAAACTGTGTTGAGCATTGGTGTAATTTTCACTCTATATATTGACACGAAACATCAGGAGTCTTGTGGCACAGTTGTTAAATGGCAATACTGCAACCAAGACTCTGCTCATGACCTGAGGTCAATCCCGATGGGCTCAGATAGCTGGCTTGAGACTGACTCAGCCTCCCATCTTTCTGAGGTTGGTAAACTGATTACCCAGCTTGCTGGTGGAGGGGAATGTGTAACCTATGAAATTGAATTGCAAACTGCCCAGAGAGTGCATTAAGTGCTATGCAGTGGTATATAAATAGCACACTCCATTGCTTTGCTATTTCCTACAATATCTATGTTGGTTTTTAAAACTCTGAAATTGTGCTCTAATGATCTGTTTGTTACCATCTATTTGGTATACATGTTGAAGCACTACCAAGGGAATTGACTCTAAAAGCATGGTCATTTCCTTTCTGGATCACGGTCTTTGAGAATAATAATCATTGCACTGACTCGACATTCACTATTTTCCCTGTTTTGTTTTGAAGCACATGGACATTTGGTTACTAACTTCAAACTAACCAGATTTCTACTTAATTTGAGTTCAGATCTGCAAAAGAACAGAAAAGTATATTATCTTTTTATACCATACTTTGGTGGTTTCTCTCATTCAGATAACTTATCGCACAGAGGTCCTGCACAGGACTTTTTAATATTGCCTGGATGCAATAAACTACACAAATGAGATAAGCATCGATGAACTGGTTATTACAATTACTACAGATTTGTCATAAATAATATCAAAGCCTGGCTTCTAACGATCTGTTACCACTACTCAGTATGCATGTTGGGGCACTACCGACAGAAATGACTTTAAAAGTGTGTTAATTACCTTTATGGATCATGATATTTGAGAATAATAAAATAAAATAAAAACCCCTTCTTCACTTCCTATCAGTGGATATGACCTCCATATCTAAGACATGGGCAGTGTTTTTGAAAGAAAATCAAAACAGCGTGACAAGAATTAGATTAGATTAGGCATCCTTCAGTCGCGAGAGACTCTGGTAACATGCTCTGTATGGAGGACTTTGAACAGCGTCTAGTGTGGCTGAGAAGGCCAATTTGAGAGTGACAATCCCTTCTACACTGAAGACAAATACAATTTGTCCCCTGTACAGCTCCCTGATTTTGTTGGTTTCAAGACTGCCTCTTTGCCTCAGCCTGCTGGACAAGGGTCTCTTCAAATTGGGAGAGGCCATGATGCCTGCCTCCAGGCTGAACGCTTAGATGTCAAGGTTTTCCATCTGTTGCGGTCCATTCCTAAGGCCTTCAGATCCTACTTGCAGATATCCTTGTATCGCAGCTGTGATCTCCCTCTGAGGCGATTTCCCTGCACTAATTCTCCATTCTCACGACATGCCCAAGCCAATGCAGACGTTGCTGTTTCAGTAATGTATACATGCTAAAAATTCCAGCTTGTTCTAGGACTACTCTGTTTGGAACTTTGTCCTGCCAGGTGATACCAAAAATATGTTGGTTCCAATGCATATGGAACATGTTGAGCTTCCTCTCCTGCTGTGCACAAAGGGTCCAGGGCTCGTTGAAGTATGGTGTATGCTGTCAGCTTCTTATTGAGCCATACTCTTTGTGAGTCTAGAGAACATGGTACAGTAGCTGCTTTGCCAATGCATTTATCCAGCTTGACATCTAGGGACAGAGTGTCAGAGATCGTTGAGCCAAGGTACACAAAGTCACGAGCAACCTCCAATTCTTGCATGGAGATGGTAATAGAAGGAGGTGAGTCCACGCCCTGGCCCATGCCTTGTGTTTTCTTCAGGCTGATTGTTAGTCCAGAGTCTTAGCAGGCCTTGCTAAAAGGATTCATGAGTTGGCCTTTGCTCTCAATCTAGAGAGATTAAAGAGCTTTCCATCTGATCTAGTTCAGAGATAGACACCTTCAATATGTCTTCTTGTATTGTTGACAAGAATACTCCATCAGTAAAAGGTTACAGAAAACAGCATTATCCATAGTCGTCACCTGAATTCAAATAAGATCTAGAAGCACGGCTGGACGTTTTTTACATTGCTTTTTAGTCTATCAGGGTACTGTTCCATCAAGAACAATACCACCTACTCTGGCACAGCTCTCCAAAGTCTCAGGCCAAGAAAAGTCTTCTCCAGCCCTGCCACTTAAGTGGCACTATCAGGGAACAGATCGCAGACCTTCTCCATATGTATTGCTGTGGATTTATGGTTTCTGGCACCTAAAGATGAGTTGGATGCATTTCTCTACCATCATGCAGATGTGCTACCTTTATTGGGCCAATGCTGTTGGTTTTTAAATACAAAAAAGTACAAAATTGTAAGATTATAATCTCTTCTAGGGATGGTCCTTTGTACAAAGTAAACTGTGCAACATCACAGGTGCCACGCATACCTTCTCCCCACCCCCTGGGGCAGCTGGCCCATCACATTTCATTGCCTCATCAGCTGTGTGTGGAGAATCCCCATCCCACCTGTGTTTTGCCTGCATGATAATTTGTTTTTGGTATACAAAAGGACTGGGGTTTGTGCTTTTGGATGCTTTTTTGGTGATGTTGGCATGTGATGTTTTGGGATAGTGGGAAAACCCAACCCAGGATCTTTCTCCCTAGTTGCCCCAAAGTATTTTTTGTTTATTTTTAGAAAACAAACAATTGAATTTAGCGCTAGATCGTATCATTGCATTGCTACATTAAATTAGCACTATCACCTCCACACAGCCAAAATAAGAGATTAAAATCAAAATAAAACTCAATAACATCATCTGTTGATTCCCATTTCATTTCCTGTGGTATATCCCCTCCATTACATCCAAGACAAAATTCAGACTGCAAGGACTCCATTCTCTCTTCCCACTTGCTTTTGCAAAATCTTCACCAGAGGAAGAGATCATAATATCACAATTTTGTACTTTTTAATGTTTGCTCCCCATTATCCTCCTTCCTACCACTTACTTTTGCAGCATCCTGCTGGACAAACAGATTGGGGATCTCAAACGCTCGAACAAATTTTCTGTGCTTTTTTTAAAATAATGGCCCAGTAATGGTATCAGCCCTGCATGTTCTATGCCCCTGCTTTTATTTGTCTCTCTATATGATATTTTTGCCACATTAAGGCCCCACTGAACTTATCATATTTTTTCGTGTACAATATGATACTTTTGTCTAAAATCTTTAGACTAAAAATTTATGGTCATCTTATACATGGAAGTCTTATACATGGAAGTAAAGTGAGGAGAGAACAAAAACAAGTGGAGGGGGAAAGGGATCAAAGCCACGGGGCTTCCCCTCCAGGCGGAAAGGGATCAAAGCGCTAAAGGATTGCTTTGATCCCTGCTTTCCACTGGGCTTACTAAAGGAGAGGAAAAGGGATCAAAGCAATTGTGCAGCCACGGGATTGCTTTGATCCCTTTCCCCCTCCTAAGTCCTGCGGGGCTTAGCACAAAAGGAGAAAGCAGGGATCAAAGCGATCCTGCAGTGCTTAGCAGGGATCAAAGCAATCTATGCAGGGCTTAGCAAATGGAGGGGAAAAGGGATCAAAGCACTGCAGGATTGCTTTGATCCCTTTCCCCCTCCACTTGCTAAGCCTTGTCTAGACTTCTTAAATTTGGGTTAGAAAAGTGTGTGGGGGGGTGTTTTATACATGGAAAAATATGGTACTGGATATGACTTTTAGATGCAGCTAGGGAGGTGTATTCTGCATCTGGGCTTGCTGGTTGTTACCTGCAAGATCAGCAGGACTAATTTACACTGGACAAAAGGTTTCTCTGGAATATATTGTATTGTAAAATAAAAACAAACATGCTTGGCCTGTAGATCTTGTCTCTTTTTTCTGCTTCTACCATTATGTAATGCATGATGACTAGACACGGGTAGAGAGGAATAAGGGAAGGTAAGTGTGGAATACATTCGGGTGGAAAGGGAATGAAAGAGAGGGGGAGGAAGAATTAAGTGTTCCTAAAGCAGAGATTCTTACAAGTGGGGGTTCTTGTAGTAAAGGGAGTCTCCTTACTGTCATCTAAAAAGTCTTCCTCCTCATCCTCCTTTCTCAGCCTCCTCTTAGTCTCCTCATCATAAATGAGACCCAGAAGATTAGCTGGGCTCTCACTCTCACTATGGCAGAGCTCATTAAGACGGACTCCAATTGCCTGCCAACAGAAAGAAAAAGAGGACAAGTAAGCATAGGTTAAAACACAAAACTTTGCTAGAGAGCTGGAGGGCTCAAAAGAAGGACACAATTCTGTGTTAAGGGTGAAGGGCAAGTGTTTCTTCAAAGTGCTAAAGACTACAACCGTCCAAAGTGTATGGAGTTAATTTGTTCAAAGCCTTAATTTTCTAGTTACGGCCAAAATCTTAATAGTTAAACATTCTTAACTGTACTGCCATCAGCATAACATTCGGCAGCAAGTTGAGAAGTTGCTGTAAGCATTTTCTATCACAAACCAGTTACATGACTCAGTGTGAGATTGTACATGCCTAGGGTGATTTCTTGGCTTGGAGCAATTTACTGCTGGATGTTATGCTGATAGTATTATGCCAGCAGAAAATTTACAGCAAGGTTCAACCCTACATTAATGAGACAAAGATATTAGAAAAGATGGCAAAAGGTAAGCAGAATTACTGTAATAAGTATTTGCTTCGCCCTTTTATCTGTTCAAAGTGTTTCACCACATACAGGATATTGCTGTAATCCTTTCAACATGCCTGTAAAGATCAGGTTTGTCAATGGCAGAGTCAGTTGTCAAATCACAGAATTCCTGATATGTAAAAGAGGCTGCAATCCCATGTAGGTTTACCTGCAAGAAAGATCCACTACACACAATGGAATTTACAGGACAACACCATCGGTCTCCAACACACCACATCATACTAGTTCTGAATTTATTAATAATTAGGAAATGGATTTTTCTGATATTTTGGAATAAAAATCCCATAATTCTCCATTCTGGGAATCCCACCTGACAGACAGAACTGAAGTGTGACTCACCAGAGAGAAAAACCTACGGTGTAAAGTTTTGTGGTCTAGCTCTGGTAGCTTCCCGGGCAGAAAGGAAGCTCTCAGATAGCAGTGGGGCAGTTTCCTTTCTGCAGAGGAAACAAGGATGGCGCTTGGTCCAGTTAGGCAACAAAACCTTCCATTGTTCCAAAGCCTTTCTTTAAGGTAATCCGCAATTACGTGCCAGGTGGAACCCCCAGGGTGGAGAATTACAGGAGCTGTACTCCCAAACAAACAAACAAAAACCCTATGCCTGTTGAGAATAGAGGCCAATGCATCAGAGATCTGGTTTGGTGCATTGCTTGGTTCGTTCTGGCTACTGGAAACTATTTGGGGCTGGCAACTTCAAAAAAACAAAACAAAAACAAAAACAAAAAAAACATGATTTTGTAGTTATGTTTGGCACAGGGCAAAATATATAAACAGCAACAGCAACAACTTACTGTTGTCATAAGAATTCACTTTGTGCCATCAAGTGAATTCTGATTTACTGCAGCTCTTTCCAGGTATTCAGAAGTGGTTTACTATTCCCTTCTTCTGGGGGCATCCTGGGACTGTGCAGCTTGCCCAAGGCCACATAGGCTGGCTGTTCTGGGAGGCACAGTGGGAAATTGGACTCCAAATCTCTAGCTCTGCAGCCAGAGACCTAACTCACTGGGCTATCCATCCAACACAAAAAAGATAATTCATTGTTATTAAATCACAATAAAATCAGTTGGCCACAAGCCCTTATAATCAAACATGGTTTGTATCATATATACACACACCAAAAATATTGTTTGAGTGTTTGTATAGACATGTGTGCACATGTGCGCTCACACAACAAACACATTTTTTTCAGCATCTGGGCAGAAAGTCAAAGATTAAGCCAAATTGTTCTCAAACTTGGACAATTTCAGAGTCACAGAAAAGAAATTGTTGGAGATATAACAAGCCCCAGAATGGAACTTGAAGCTGGGGACTGGAGCTGGTTGACTTACATACTCAAATCCCCAGTTGCCTGGTAGTCTTGAGGCACTGAGAATTTTCCTGGATTATTAACTCTTAGCAGCAAGTTGATTTGATGGCAAATTATACATATAGAGAGACCTAATTAAGCAAAACAGGAAGGAAATTGGGTTGTCCTGCTTTAAAGGGAGTCAAAACAAAATCTACATTAAACTGTTATTGATTCCTGCCATCACTATGACAGACAGACAGACAGACAGACAGACAGACAGACAGACAGACAGAAAGAAAGAAAGAAAGAAAGAAAGAAAGAAAGAAAGAAAGAAAGAAAGAAAGAAAGAAAGAAAGAAAAACTTACATCCCCCCACTGGTAGAAGAGTTTGGCTGCATTCCACTGTAACTTCTGATTACGTTTGTTCCCTACTATTGGGGAGCGCCCACGAGAAAGGCCCTTTTTAGTGATGTTCACATGGTGTCCCTTCATCCATTCTGGCCAGTTGCCACGGTTACAACGATGAACAAAGCGAGCACATTCCAGGAACAGGGCTGCTCTTGCCACCACTGGTGCCTCCTAGAATATACAGTATTATCAAAATAATTGAAGAACAACAAATCCTAACATAACATGCTACCAGCACACTTTTTAGGCATGATAATGCATTGATAATTCTGATACAGGATGCTTTTAGTGAGACAGCTATCACATATGGCACCATATCTTCAGATAACCAACTGGTGGCAGATTTAGGATGGGGTAATGGCTTGAAAGAGTGAAGCATCAGCTATCAAAGTGGGAAAGGAGTGGGTTTCATTACCTCTCCACCACATTTTTTTCAATATAATTTGACATCCGCACAACATTTTATAGCCAAACGTGAAAGCTAATGTATGATGATAGACATCTGATTTGGCTACATGTAGTTACTCCTCTAAAATCTCACACACACCCCAAAAAAATGCATTCTGACTCTTTTAAAAACATATCTATACAGTGCTTTAAAAAGTTATTTCTAAAAGTAACTGATTCCTGTTTCCCATATTAGTGTTCATAATATAGTTCTTTACACTTTTTAAAGGGCAAATCATTGCACTACTTGCTGCACCACTCAGTACTTTTCTGTTACTTTAAAGTCTACTCAAAATGCCTCGAAAATGCTCTTTAAAAGTAAACTTTTAAAGATAGCTTGACTCATTACTCATTACACCAAAAAGGGAATGGTAATAGCATTATCAGTGATTAAGTTACTTTTTACATGTAACTATTGTATTTTTTAAAAAAGAGGGATAAATCATTATACCTAACTAAGTTGCTTTTTACTTCACTATCCAGCTCTCTGCCAGCATGAATATGTGGAGAGGGGGAGGGCAGACCACTAGAGACAGGCTGAAGATGTTGAAAGAAAGGATCTTTCAGCATGCAAAGACTGAGGCCAGTACTTCCCAAGCATAGGGCTGTAATACCACAGCCACCAGATATGTTATGCTAACTGTGAAAACTGTAGAGAATTTGAGAATGTGTAGTAGCTTATAGCCATACAAATTCTTCCTTTTCCTACCATTTCCTCTAGGTCCTTGGATTTAGGGTGTTGATTGTGTATATGTCATACCCTACTTCATTAAATTCTTCCTCACACATCTGCTTGCTGTATGTGATAATTTATTTAAGCCATGCATACACATACACACACACACACACACACACACACACACACACACACACACACACACACAAACAATACAATACAGGTAATTATTAATACTCACATGTCAAACACAATTGATAAGAAAAAGAACAAACCAAATAACAATAGAGGAATGGCAACAAAGGCATCTAATAGCTATAGGCCAAAGGCCTACCTCAACAGAAAAGTTTAAGCATGGAACAGGAAGCCTTTAAAGAGTGAAACCAAATTAATTTCCACTGTTCAGATATTCAAAAGCATGATACAGTAGCAGAGAAGCATTAGGATATGCTCCATCGAACAAGACTAAGGGACCTCTAACCTTAGGTCTGTCCAATGTCTGTTCCTTACAATAGGATCTCTCTATATATGTTTTCCAATTATCAGTTTTGCTGCCATCTATCACTTGTGGCCAGTGTTTTACTCTTTTAGGCAAACCATCAGCTTTGATGAGTGATTTTTTAGTAATGCACCATATAGGATGATGATCTGAATGAAAAACTACACCATAGTCCCTATCTGTAGTGGGGAGCATAGCTGCTTTTCCCAAAGAAAGAGACAAGGGCAATTTTAAGAACATTAACTTCAAAATGCTTTGACTTTTCCCCTGAATTGCTTGGTAGGGGGTTGTTGCTGGGCAATGTAAGCCCTCAGTTCATAAGGGCATCATCAATTTCAGCAAGATCCTATGCCTTAAAGATTTTTATCAGACAAGATGAATCCATGATGTAAATTCCTATTGACCCATTCTAAATTTAAAACAAATGTTCTAAACGTTATACTCAGAGTTAGTACGCCGAATGTCAGAGCAGTATGCAAATAGGCTGCAATAGCTTACCTTATGCCCAGAGCAATCTGAAGAAGCAGCAAGAGAAAGATGAAGATGTGTGACAGAATGGATAAGGATGAATTCACACCACACAGAAAAACACCACAAATGAGGAGAAATGAATCAGCCAGGAGATGCATAGCTGAAAAGAACCACAGGTTACCAGTTTCACTGACAAAAGAAAACAAAGCAAAAATGTGGCTGCGAAATTCTAACAAAATGGACACTTTCTTCAAAATTCTGCATATAAAATGGCCTTCTTGTTTTATCCATTACAATATTTGTGCATTTTTAAAAATATGATAAAACAAACCACTCTAGGGATGATCATTTTCCTTCATGGTACTTCACAGTTCCTGAAAGCTTCCTAATGGTCAATTCGACATTTACAACCACAATCAGCCCTAGGTCTGGGTAGGTGAGAGTCACCTCACCTGGACACACTTTCAACAGAAGTACAAAGCAGGCCCAAGAATTGTGAGAGGAAGGGAGATAATTATCATGAGATGGACAATTGAGGTTGAATTGCAGAACATTCATCAGGGCGTTTGACCTTCCAGGTTTCTTTTGACCCACAGTTCCCAGCTGTCCACGTCAAAACAGCCAGTGTCGAGGGTCTGGTGAAGTTGCAATTTAAGATTATTCAGAGGATCACAATGCCCAATCTTGTTTTATCCACTCTTGAAAACTACAAATCCCAGAGTTCCTTGCTTCTTGAGGGTATTTTTTATGCACTGGAGGAAATCCAATGTATAAGATGTATTTGATAAGTAGAGGGAAACCTCTCCACCCCCAGAGCTATCATCGATATTGAGATTACAAGGACAGTGGGAGTTAGTGTTGTTGATAAGACTTACAGGCCTTGCAGCAGATGTGGGTAAGGACCTGATTTGTGCAGTTGGTATAAAACATGGCACTACATATATACTGCCATGTCTGTTTTTTGAAAACAGGTAAAGCCTTTCCTAAAGTAAATGTGGTTTAGCTATGGTATCAGGCCAGTTGGAGTGAAACTTGGGCACTGGTGAAGGGATACTATCTGGATAAAGCACATAAATGTCCACTCATTATATAATACCTCTTAACCAGAGTGCTATTTTCTTTTATCCAGGGGATGATACTCTGTTTTGGAATCAGATATGGAATAAGGACACAACTTTTAATGGTGTAATTTAGGTCCTTAAGAACAAGAGTAACAAAAATGTATCATGGTTATTTTATCTCATAAAAGATGGAAGCTTTTTTCCCCCATGGGGGACCCAAAATACATTTTTAAAATACCTGGAACTACATAGTGAGAAGTGTCAATTGGAACAAGCAAAAAAGGTAAGATAGCATTGAAAATGTAGGCAAAGACAGGGTTACTGAAACAATGTCATGGTAGATTGTACTGCCCTAAACAGGTGGCATATGAGAGCAAGAAAGGTACTAAAGCGGACAGTTCATATGGTTTTTCCCCCCTTTCAGCTTCTCAAGAGGAACTAAACTCTAGCTGCTGTCTAACAGAGATTGACTCAGAAAGAGGAGTCAAAAAAGTGTCCAGAAGAAGAACGGATATGGGGATGCTGATGAATTGTAAACAAGCGTGCATATGGAGAAATATCCAAAATGCATGCCATGCAACACAAAAAAGGTTTTCAGTACAAAAGTATTACTTTGAATCACAACTGTAAAACCAACAACAAGCAAGGGATGTTCCAGTAGTGAATGAGATGAAAAGAAAGCAAGAAATACACAGTAGCTGAAGCAGCAGCACAGATTAGATCTCAATCTATGCTTGGCTTGGATCATCTAGGCCTTGGATCCACAAATCACCATTCCTTAAATTAATCATAAAGGAGAAATCTTTGAAGGCTCCTTGGCTGCAAGAGAACAGCTGGAAAAAGAGCTACGGCTTGGTTTAATTATTTACAACATTCTTTCAGTTTCTCAGCAGAATGACTGTCTTATACTGTACTTTCACATTTGCAAAGGCTTTGCAAGTGTGGGGTTGGCAAAATGTGGAGCCTTAAAGAAATCCTAATAATAAAAAATTAAGAACAGCCTAGTAAATTAAGCATCCATATTTATAGCCATAGATGGAACGTGGCAATTTTTGTTAATTTTTAAAGCATCTGTGTAATGGACTGAGATAATCACTGAGTTGTGAGGTATAGTATGGGTGCAACATGAATATTTCCGCTTAGCAATCCTCTGTTACCTCCCACCCCACTCCAAAACCTTTAAACTTATTAGAATGTCCCAGTTTATGCAAAATGAACAGAAATCCTGTTGCTCAGCATAGTAAGTTGCTCTAGAGTAGGCCCACTGAAATGGTAGGGATTTGGTAAGTCAACTCTTCCATAAGTTCTATTGATTCCAATGGGCCTTCTCTAACTGCAATTTACTTTTAGCACAGTGAGAGTAGGCCCATTTGAATCAATGAAACTTACTGGAGTCAACGTAAGGAGCTGACCCACTAAATCCTCCCTGATTCAGTGTGCCTACTCTGGTGTGACTTAGTATACTACACAGAAGAGTTCTGCTGTTGAATTATTGGCAGTGAACATTATTCATGGACCAACTTACAAGATCAAGGGCAGCTGCCAAAATGGAGGCATCAGGGATTGTGCCCGGCTCGCAGCAGTTTAAGAGAAACTGGAAACGCTTCATCCCTTGTCGTATTGCTCCCAGGTTCACTACGTTCTTGGATTTGCCTCCCTCTTGGTTGGATGCCAGGTGATCATCATAGGTCTGGCAGCCTTGAAAGAGAACACAAAAGGGGGTTGCGGGAGAGAGGGGAAAGAGAAAGGCCCACAACAAGGGTTTAAAATAAAACAGGTTCACAGAAAATCTGGGTGCTGTTTATGTGGTTCCTCTAGACTTCTGCCTTTTGCATGACTAGCAAGCCTAAAATAAGACAACAGGTGAGCATGTGGGTTATGCATAACCACAGCAATATTTGTGTGAACCCTATGGGGGAATATACAGCAGTGGAGAAAATGAGGGAGGGAGGATACATACAGTACTGACTTACCGCAGGAAAGCATACCACATCATTAGAGAATTATATATCCAAGACTCTGAAGTACGGACAGAGTCCTTTTGTACTTTTGCACTGGCTGCCAATTAAATTAATAAATTAAAAGGTAGTGGGGTTGAAAGCAATAAAACTGTATCATTTCTGCAGTGTATCAGTGATTTTTCCAAACCTGGAGGAGCTTTTCAGACTAGCTTCAAAATCTAAGATTCTCAAAAAGCAGTAGAAATTTTATCTTCCAAAGTTAGTCATGACTAAGTCCTACCGAAGCAAAAGAATAGGTTGATCACAAAGGAATTAAATCCCATTAACTTCATTCATGGCTTACTTTAGCTGCAGCAGGGCCGTTTGCTCTCAAGCTGCGATTGTGACAACACATAATAGAAGTTGTCACTTGCATTTGTGCAAGAGCATCATAGGATCAGAATGCAACCTTTCATAAAAGTTGGAAGTACTGAATCTGAATAACATTCCTTGGGACAAGTCACCTTAATTTAAATGGAAGTTACTGCCAGTTGTGCTGGGATTGCAGACATTGCCATTTAGGGACCTACTGCACATTCATAGTCATTTTTAGAAATGCTGCCCTCCCAGTGATGATTGTGGAACAAACGTGCTATGGAGCAATTGCTAAAGGTGGCTGACAGATTGCCATCACTTGGAGGTGATGCAGAACAAAAAGTTACCTTTTCAGTTCAGGCTCAGGCTCATCTACATTAATGAGTATGAGATATTTCGTATATTTGTGGTATATACTTAGAATTGTAAGAAACATTTTCTTGTTAGGAAATGTCACCTTCGAGGACTAAACTGTCTCTGTTTTAAACAATGCAAACTGTTTATGAATGATGACCTGACAATGAAGGGATGCCCTTGTGCAAGCTTCTCCAATCTGGCACCCTTGAGACATTTTGAACTAGAACTCTCATCAGTTTGTTGGCCGTGCTGGCTGGGGATGGCACATTGGGAGGGGAGCAGCTGAAGAGGAAGGCTGTCTGAAAACAATATATTTTAATTGATTTATGAGTAGTATACCAGCCATGTCATGAAGTGGTAAATCCAAACCTGATCAGGTTAAACAGTAATAACAGGACAGATGGAGAAACTCATGGCTGATCTCTTAAATTTCTTGGAGAAAGCATGGGCACAAATGTAACTAATACGTGCACTGGATATATCTCAGAAAGTCATAACAGCATAACTGGTTAACTATGATGATTAAAAGCAGAAGTGGCTGAACTAAATAAAGAGGTTCATCTTGTTTTTCTCTCTGTGCTTTTAATATCCTAGTTTTGCTTGCTAGTCTCATGTGTTCAAAACAAAAAAAAAATCACAACCCAGTATTTTGCCATATTCTAATATGAGCGGCTGAGAAACATAAACAGAGTAGAACTATGCATACTAAATAATAATGCAACTCCTATATTATTGACAAATAACTTGGCGGAATCAGGCTATTAAACATGATCTCCCATATTTACTAGCTGAATTTTTGAGTGCCACAGTGATTTACATCAACTGGGCTGCAAAAGAGGAAAAAAGAGGTACAGGGCTATATAATGTTTGTTTGTTTATTTGTTTATTTGTTTATTTGTTTATTTGTTTATTTGTTTATCTACCTATCTACCTATCTACCTATCTACCTATCTATCTATCTATCTATCTATCTATCTATCTATCGAATTTTTCCCCCGCCCCTCTAGACCATGTCTACTCGGGGCGGCTAACAGTGTACAGTATACTCACAGATCTACATTGAGAAGGATTTCTGAAAAACAGTGAGGCTGCCTAACCATGGCTCATCAGAATGAAACTGGGGAGGGATTGTCTCCTTATGGAGAAGCCATGTGCTGAGTTTCACCATTTGTACACGTTAAGAATTTTATAAACAAAATTAGACTTCCATTTAAATTTAGACAAAGTGCCTAGTTTTAAACGCAGGCAAATTCCTATTGGGTTTTTAAGAATCAATTTACAAATGGAAATTGAAATGCATGTGCTTGTCTCAAAAGTCAAGCCTAACACTTGGGCTTTTTTTCTTGAAGTCTCCCGCATGTTTGTACATGTTCGTGCATGCTCGCTTTAACAAAGTAATCAGATTAAAGCTAAAGGGTCTTCCAAACAAACAGGTGGCCATGGCATTCAAGGGCTGCTGTACAAAGTGTTTGTGGAGGCAGTACTCAAATATTTTAATTGACACACTGATGTCAGAAAGAGCCCAACTACCTGTTTTAAAACACCGTCTGATACTGATCACAATGATTGCATGCCTTTATTTAGTACGTTATCCGTTCACATAGAGATGTATTGCATGATGAAGCAATGGATAAAGGATATATACATTGATGGATGTAATGTTACTGCCATGTGTAATGTCAGACCATGTACAATGCTATGAAAATATAAACAGAACAAAGCTCATTGAGATGGGATGCTGTGCTCCTTTTTCAGTACAAAAATAGGAAAATGTCAAGATGCAAGGTTGTTTCCTTGGTAACAAAGAGCTCACATCTGCAGCCGGATAGCTGCAAAGTACTTGAAAGCATATAACTCATACTTTTTTCCAGATGCTACTGTGTTAAGAACAATAAAACAATTAATAATGTATCTCAAATAATAAAATATCATTAATGATTTTGCTGAGAATGCTAGACAACATCCCTAAGATGGCATGAAGACACAAGAGAAGCAGACACAGAAGAAAAGAGATAATTAAAACACATTTTGTACAGGGTTTTCCATTTCATCAGTGCTGAACTATACAGAAGATGGTAGATGATCAAGAATGGGGTATAAAAACGGGTGGGCACATTCATAATTTCACCTCAAGGAGTGAAATTATTAGCACAATATGTCCGAAGCCAGATAATTTACTTTCAAATTATTTCACTCCCCCCCCCCCAAGTGGCTGATTTTATTTTGGAAGTCCAAATCTTTCTTTCATGGCCCATCTTTGCTTTTCCATTTTGGCTAAAAATTCATTGAAATCAAAATAAGAAAAAAGAAAGAAAGGGTTGATCGCAAAGCATTTAGATGGTAGTTTTAACCTGTAAACCACCCAGCATTGTGCTTGCACTAATGGGGCGGCTTCAAATAAATAAATAAATAAATAAATAAATAAATAAATAAATAATAAATAAATAAATAAGCAAGCAAGCAAGCAAGCAAGCAAGCAAGCAAGCAAGCAAGCAAGCAAACATAAAGCCAGAAAAAGGAAGGAAAGGAGGACACAAAATCCATGTTTTAAAGATCATAAATTAAAGGAGAGACAAAGAAACAAAGGGGATAGAGAGAGAGAGAGAGAAATTAGAAAGGACTGAAGAAACAGAACCCTGATTTCTAACCATCTTTTTCTTCTGTGTGATGAAGCTTGGATGGATGTCTTCGGCAGGTGCGCCATTTACCAAGACGCTTGAAAAAATTCTCCTCTTCATCACGCCCATTCTCCATGCCACTTCCTGGTCCTCCTTCTGACAGCTTCACAGCACTAGTGAATTTCACCTAAGAGAAAGAAAGCTTGTAATATGTCCCCTTCCAATTTCTTTTCATATGGCATCATCCACTTGCCATCTTGGGACTAAAAATTCTGAACACACACATCTGTGTAACAGCAACCAAACTGAGGGGTGTCAGAGTCACACAAGCTGGGAAGGAATGGACCGTCATTGGGCTCTTCGTTCCTGCCCCATCTCCTGCTTCCTAGGAGAAAGTGCTCATGAAGGAGATAATCAGAGGGAAATAATGAACAAAGAAATCCAGCTAGGACTTCCTTCTCCCTCCCTGCTTCTCTGACTGCAGTTTTACTGACTACTGATGTGGTTTGAGCAAACTTTGAAGTTTTCAGTGCTTTTAGTTATGACAAGAGTGTTCTTGTATCATGAGTATAACTTGTTGTGAAGCGCCAACATTTCAAAGTTTATCTGGGACTAAAAGGAAGAGGTTGAAGCCTTTTGGGGCCACCCACTTCATCTAGGTAGTATTGGTTCTCAGTATTTGCTATCATATGTTCCACTAACTGTGGTTGAAGCAAAATACCTTACTTTTCACTGAGAAGGTCCTTTATACCTTTACATTAGTTTTGTTTATTCTTCTTGTCCTCCATGGTGAGATAGTGGGTTGGAGGTACAGGAGATTAGGACAAACTCTGAATGTTAAAAGTTACTTCTAGTATGTCAGAAGGTCACAGATAGATAATCCACAGCAGTAGAGTTATCCTTAATCAGTTAAAGATGACATATTAAACGTACAGGAGGAAGTAGGACTCGAAGAGAAAATTCTTAATCATTGTTATGAACATTCTATAGCCCATCTAGATTACGTCTGTATCCCTCCCAATGAATGTTCCACTGATTGATAACCACTGATCTGGGCATATAATGCAGAGTTTTCGCTAATTCATTTTTGCCCAAAATTTTAGACCCGATACCTGACCCTTATAGATCCATATTAAGAACCATTCTTTTTATAAGCTTTGTAAGCTCCACAGCCTCAGAGACTGATTTGAGCTGAACGCCAGGCCTCTCTACTGAGATCAGATTAACACTGATTGCCACCATCTTGAGTACAGTACAAGATGAGAGCCACACCACAGACTTTTCCAACCCTAAATTTAGAAAATGACTTTGTTTTTTCTTCAAATGGTGTCAAGGTGTGAAATTTTGAATGTATAGCCTGTTGAAATAATTAAAGGAGTGTAGAAAAAGCAGCCCTGAAAATGCTCATTGCATTTTTAAAAAACAAGGTTTGAACAGCAGTTTACTAAAAATTGCTGCAAAACAATCAGCTCTCCCACCATGCCTGGAAGCCAGATAGGTCACTGTTGCCTTGCAAATACATTTCTTTCAGTGGTTTACGACCTTGATGCCTGCTGGGACATCTCTCCTACAGAATAGCTACCTGTCCAACTCACTCCTCGCACTCTTTACTGTTAAAAACTTAAACTCTGAAGGAAGCCAAGGAAGTTATCACTAGAAATCAAGCATTTTCTATTTATTTATGGAATAAATTACTACTTGAGATTCATTAGGCATCAGCCCTTTAAAAAAACCTCCTAAAAATAAAACTATTTAAAGCTGTCTTTTATTAACATCGTCCTTTTGATGACCTGTTTTAAATCTGGTTTATATTGGTTTTGGTAAGCTATGTTGCATTTTATTGAATTATATTGTTTACTTGTGACTAAATTTGTTTTAATTTATTGGATTATTTGTATTTATAGTTAGGCTGTTAATAACCCAGAGAGTGTATATTGTACTATTGGACAGTATATAAGTCAAATAAATAAATAAATTTCATGACTGACAGTTGAGCTGTGGGATATGATTGGAAATGTATTAAAATAACTGCTTTGTAATAAGTAGAATGTTGCAATGCAATTTGCTCTACTTTTCACTAGATTCCTATAGTTTTGATCTGTTGAAATTAATAGTCTCTGTAACTGTTAATCATAGCAATAATGCTTATCATCATGGCAGCAGTTTGCAAGATTCTGATATACAAGCCATTGTATTTGCAAAATCATTCGGTTTTTAAATAAATGCACAAGTTTTTTTCCTGAAGCAGATAATTTAAACAGCAGTCCAAAAATATTGATTATTCCTGATCTTTAGCATGAAATATCACATGTTAAGAAACTGTCATCTGTGGGCTAAGTCCAATTGTTTGTTCTAAATAAAGTAGACCCATCAAATCAATGGGATCTACATTTGTGTTGACCTAACAAGCTCATTCATTCAAGGGATCTACTCTACTTGGAGTTTACAATTAGATGGAGTCTTAAAATTCCAGGTTCTATTTTTGATAATTCAATCTTCATTCCTAGTTAGTTATTACTGGTGATTTTATTTTCTCAAAGATTGAAACAGACATTTAAGACATCATGTATGTCTCCTCATACCATGTCCCTATTAGTCCACTGTAACATATATACCTTGGAACTCTGCCTGATGAAAGAAAGACGATCTACAGAGCTGATATCAAGAAGATCTTCCACACCATCTGCCAGGCCAGAAAGGGATGAGCGTTTCAGCCAGTTCCCTGTTATACAAAGAAAAAAAGATGATACAAACCTATGTCAGAAGCTGTCTGCAAGAAACACAAGTGGGTAGTACTGAGGAAGCTATAGCTAATGAAGAAAGGCTGGCACACATACATAAAATGTAGAAGTTGAATATTCCGTATGTAAAAGGGAACACGGAGAGTTTGGGATTGAAAAGGATGTTAACTGAGGTAGAAGCAGGCCAAATAATACAAGTATTCTCCTACATTTATTGAAATCTAGGTAGAACATTTCTTTGAAAAACTTTGTGTGCTAGTGGCAAGTGGAAATGTATATGAAAAAAAAATTAATCCTGTGACAACATAAGAAAGAGAGAATATAATTACCTAAAGGAAGTTTGAGTTTCTTTCGGAGAGAGATCCGTCTTGAGCGGGAGCGGGAGCGCCTCTCAGTGGTCACCCCCGAGTGTGCAGTTGTGCATTCTGAGGTATCTGGCTCAGACTGGCTGCTAGTATCACTCGCTGCACTCTGTGATTTGAACATCTTTCGCCAGAAGTCTTTGCGGCCTAGGGCTGCTCCTTGCATTTGCTCATCACTGAATGGAAACAAATTGTACATGGCTCCTAATATTTTTTTCTGAATCTACATCTGCATACCTACTCTTATGCTTGGTTGGTTAGAGAATCACATGCTATTTTGTTTGCCCGCTTTTGTCTTCAGTTGCTTTGTCATTTCAGCAGGCTAGTGAGGCACAACAACGTTCTAATGTAGTAACAGTAATTGTACTTAAAATTCCTTTAGCATGTAGGAGCTTGTCATCCTTCCTACAGCACTGTAAAATGAATCAGTACTGTTATCTCTATATTGTGGATATGGAGGGCAATACTGAAGCTGAAATAGTACTGTGTCTAAGGCAACTTGTAATATAATTGCAGAGTAATATGGTACAGTAATGGCAAAAGCGGGCAGACGTAAGTCTTATAAAACAGGCTTCAGTTTGTTTTTAACTAAAATCTGAAAGTCCAGACAGTCAGGTGTAAAACGAGGGGCCAGGGGAATTAAGCCATTCACCTCCAACTCACTAGCAACATCCTAAGAAGTCTGTGTCCTGGTGCAGTAAGACAGTTGAACTAGAATTCAGAAGACCTGGGTTTAAATTCTTACTTTGCTGTGCAACTCATTGGGTGACCTTGAGTCAGATTTCAGCCTGACTTCAACTCCCTGGGCTGTTAAGAAGGAAGTGAAGGAAAGTTTCCCAAAGGAAGTCTTCAAAGTAGCCAGCAGAGTTTCACAACAGCAAGCAATTATTATTCCCATTTCTCAAGAAAGGGACATTCAGATTCTGAGATAAGCAGTCAGCACAAGGTTGGCCACTGCAAATTTATTATTGTGCTATTATTGTTATTGTTAAGTAATACTAATAATCCTCTCCTTTTCCTGTATCATATTTTGTCTTCATTCTTTCCCACTGTAAAACAAAAAGCACCAGATTGCTCTCTACTCACTCTTTTAGTATAAGGTGTAGGTTTGATCTAATAATTTCCATATCACTGAAAAACATAATGCATCAATGCGCTTGACACGTCATAATCAGTTAAGCTGCACCAACTAAGTTACAGGTAGGTACATTCTCTGTGCAGGAAATGCTTCAACCATAAAACATGAGAGAAGCCGAGAAAGTCTTCCAATCAGCCTTAAATGCTCGAGCAATGGTGAATTAAAGATAAATCTGTACCAAATACACATGTCTAGCTAAATTAATCATTCACTCCATTAGTTGTCTTGATTCATTATTCTTAATGCATTTGCTAATTAAATAACATTGATTTCTCTGAAATCCAGGTCTTAGGCCTTCATACAGTTCTTCTCCTGTCAATCCATCATAATTATTTTTGTGGCCACAGAATGTTTACAGTAGAACAGGAGATGGATATTAATCAGATAAATGTTTACTCAGACTTTCATTTACTGAAATCTATTTTTATTTCCCCCACATCACCTTGCAAAAGAATGGCACTTACTATTCTTCATCATAAAACTATCTATTCCAAGATCTATGCACAGCTACTAGGAATTAAGTCCTAATGGGTTAATTGGATTGTGGGCATTGCTAAGCAAGACACTGACACTGATCTAGAAGCACTGTACTCTTAAGAGGAAAATACTCTCTATTCAAACATAAGATTGTCTCAGTCCACATCTGGAAAACCAGCTTGCTGTTATATTGTATTCAATTGACTAGGAGATAGCATGGTTTCATCTTTGTCTCAGACATATAGCTCTGAATGATTTCAATTGCCTGGAAGGTTAATGTTGTAACAGGAGGAATTCCACTTCTGACCTGACCCTTACTGTCATGAACCTGTTTCTAGAATTGGAGCTTTACAGTATAAACCTTCTTTTGATTCCATAAGTTCTCACTACAGCATTTGAGTTCATCCTACATTCTATACACATTTATAATTCAAGCATGTCTATGATTAAGATTGCAGCATGCATGTTGTTGCTCTTTATTAATTATGAGTGCAACGTATGTTCATATAGATTATATGTATAAAATCCACAGGTTATATCTATAGGTTGTGTCTATCAAGATCAATACAAACATAAGGCAATGCCCAGAATGCTTACCAGACTTCTTGAGAAATTTGGGTCAGCTTTAGAATGCGCAAAAGATTTACTTACTGTTCTGGAGTCTGCATTGGGCGACTTGAGATATAACTGCGGCATTCATCAGGGGCAGAAGATGGCTGCCCTTTATCAATAACAACACTTCCCACTTCAGATCTATGGAAACAAACCAAAGTCAAGGGGACAGTAACAGTAATTCTCATCTTCTATGAACTAACAATTACAGATTATTTTCTGAAAATTCATCCGAGTATGTAGGTAACAAAAAGAGAGAGAGATCTATGTTTCTGTTCTAGTAGTCCCTCTGTCTGTACCGACTGTCACCATAAATATGCCTTTTGAACACGAGTCCTGATTAACAAGACACTGAAAAGATGAACAAGATATTTAAAATCCAATGTAGAAGAATCATAGGCTGATGTATACTCAGAAATACATTTCACTGATTTTGAAGAGACTTGAGGAGTCTTAGAAAATGAGTAATTTATGCATAGGATTACAACAAAACTTAATATCTGGGGATAATTTTCAAATAGCTTCTTTGTAAATAAAAACAAACATACAACACAAGTCCAAGTCAGAATCTCACAACAAATTATTGTTCATCTTGAGATGTCTTTTGCTATTTGGATATACAGTACTATACATAGTAGAATATCCTGTCAAACAAATAACCTAATATGAATACTATCTTTATGTGTACTTTAGTCCCACACATTTTAGTAAGATTCAAACACACTAAACTCAGCTTTAGGTGAACTGAAGGCTATCAACAATGTAATATTACAGGGGGAAGCAATTGTTTTGTTATATAAATTTCAATAGAGTGTAAAGAGCACAAGCATTGCTTATCTTCCTGCCCAAGTTGTTGTTGGTGTTGGTGTTGTTAGTTTTATTTATATGCCACATTTCTCCCAACAAGGGACCCAAAGAGGCTCACAACATTAAAATTCACACAATTAAAAACACAGTAAGTTAAAAATTAAAAGTTTCATCCTCAAAAGAGTGAGGATGAGATACAAACCTTTTACTGCTTGATTGTTTGGGTTCGTGTTCAGTAGCTTCCTCTGTTTTTCTTCCTGGCACCAACTTCTCAGCACTATCTAAAAGGGCACTAAGAGCTACTCTTCTAAAGACATTCCCATGAGCCTCCTTGATAAACTGAACCAGTTGTCGGATGTCACAGTACAATCCCTAAAGAATGTGGAATAGAAGGAAGGAAGGAAGGAAGGAAGTAAGGAAGGAAGGAAGGAAGGAAGGAAGGAAGGAAAGAAAAATGCCAGTGTGTATTATTGCTGTGGTGGCATCAGGGTTTGCAGGGTCAAAACACTGGGACATTTTGATTAGCAGGGACAATGACAACATCATTGATTCTTCTGACCTCAGCTACAATCACATAGAATAGTAAATGGGAGGAGAGCAGAAGAATGTTTTCAATATTCAACAATACTGTATATTGTCAGCTATCTCTGTTGTAAGGCAAAATGTTTGGGGATTATGTGGTTTTAAATGGCAAGTTAAGACATATTTCACAAAATTTCATGGCTGCTGGTAAAGATGAATATTTCTAACACTGGTGTCTTGATAAGGCCCAATATAGCTGACTACATTTAAAAAAATCCTTTGGGGACATGGCTATGGGGGGGGCATCTTGGTGATCACCTGTATTTTAAAAAGTATGACTATACCTTTGTTTAACATATCAATAGAAGGAAATACAAAAGGTATTTATTTCCTTGGCCATGTCAGTTAAAACCTTGCTATGTGTTATCTGCAATGTATAGCTCCCATCTCACACTCTTTTCATTTTAAAATTAACATCATTACTATCACTGAGGATTTCAAAAAGAACAGAGTGGATTTAACTCATAAAGTGGAGCTCATCAGGAGAGTGCTCTGAAAGGAAATCTTCAGTAGCTGTCATCTCTCATACCACTTTTCAGTGACTAGAAAGAAATTCAGTCATGCTATGTAAGATAACTTAGCTCTGTAAAGATATTTTGAGCAGCACAAGAGATTCCAGAAGGCATTTACCAAGATGAAATAAGGAAACAGTAGAAGGCAAGCATGCTGAGAATATAAATAATTTAAAGTCTGTGTCAGTACTTGAGAGGCAAGAACTCATAGTGAGCCTCAACCAAATGTCATGCTTTTTTGTGCGGGCAATAATATGAATGCCTATGCCAACTTTATTATATCACTTGTAATTAATGATGCTTGTCTCAAGACATATCTGGTATTCAAGGATGAATTCAAAGGTTATCCATACCAGATTCTCAGGACTATGGAGCTCATGTGTTGTAGAGGCACAGCGGGTGATCAGCGATTTAAACATGGCACTGACAATAATACCTTCCACACTTTGGGCTGTAGACTTGTTGTCCATTGTGGTGAAATTGTTTCCAAAACCAGCCTTGTCTGCAAAATGTAAGCATGAAAAGGTCTAATTGCACTCTCAGAAGGACAATGGTTGATTCAATAAACGTTGTGAAATCAATTGCTCCTATACATCCTGTAAAGGAAAAGGAAGCATTTATGCTAATTGCTATACTTACTGTCTGTGACTGGTTCCATACAGAATCCTAGCAAAGCGTGTAAAAAATCCACCACATTATTCAATGAATCCTTGTTCACATAGTCTCTCATGGTCTGCCGGAACTGCATCTTATCCAGCTTATACAACTTTGTGAGACAGTTCTGTGCCTGGGGAGAGAGTTTTTAAAAAATCAGAGGTATCCACTGAAAACCTTTTTGGCATGATATATTTCTAGAAAGGTGCTGACTGTTGTCACTCAAATATAACACAGTGCTCCTCAATCCTTCCTATTCTCCATAGTGGTGTGATGATACACTAAATTACATTACAGACTCCACCTCAGTGAAGAATTCTCTATGTAGGCAATCTGGGTTTCACATAACAGGAGCCAGGTAGATATCTTCCTTGAGAGCCATGGAGCCCCAAAGCCCCTGTTCAATTTGGACTTCAAAAGAGAGAGGTTTTTATGTCAGCCTCTGCTCAGTATTCTACACTGCTTTACCTGATGTCTCAGGCGATCTCCAGAGAGCCCTCGGTGACCTTCTCCACAGCCATATGCACAGCCCAAAGACTTCACTATCTTGATCAGCATGGTCAGGGCTAGCCTGTGGGTGCTTACTGGAGTGCCTTCCTCCTTAGGGTCACACATTTTGGAAAAGAAGGAAAGAAACAATAAACATTTCCCATGAAATAGCAGCAAACGGATTGACAAAATTTTCTCTTACAAACTATTTTTCTGTGCATCTGGATAAAATACGTAACATAGAATAAGCACTTTTTTTTTAAAAAAAGAAAGTTTATGGTATATATATGTATACGTATATTTTCCAAACCTGCTGTCAGTTTTTTTTTTTTTTACCATTCCCTCAGGACCTTGTTTGGCTGTGCCATAACTCAATGCTCTCACTTGGGTTCCCCTGCCACTCATCATCTAATTACAGCTGTTGGTCCCTCATCCCACCCTTTAGAAGTGCCCTGGCAACAAGTAAGGGAAGCAGGAGTGGCGGTTGCAGCAGAACTGCTGTGGGTGGGGGTGGGATCTCAGAAGGAGCAGCTGGCGGGGGGGACAATGTCAAGAAGGGCCCCAAATGGAAGCAAAACTTGCCTCAGTCAAGTGGAGTACATGGGCCCTGGTACTATCCCAAAAATACCAAGTGAAGGGACTTGTCATTGGGTCCATCTCTCACCATACTAAATGGACACAGAGGAGGTAGAGTTCCCTCTCCACCCCTTCCATTCCGACAGCACATCTGCTCTCTTGGGAAGGGATGGAATCCAGCCTTTTCTGCTCTTTTGAAATTTTCTCATTGCGTAAAGGCAGCCCAAAACTTACATAGATATAATGAGAAGAAAGAAAAGGGGATGGAGGAAACAGGAGAGGTCTGCCAGCTTCTGATGGAGTCAACACTTCACATGCAGAAGGTTTCAACCCAGATATTTCCATTTAAAAAAAACACCAGAGAGCAGATGATAGCAAAGCCCCCCCCTCTCTCTCTCCTTCTCTGCTGGAGGAATTCAAGAGAAAACTGGACAATCATCTGTCAGATCCGCTCTGACTTGGATTCCTGCATTAAGCAGGGATTGGCCTTATAGGCCCCTTCGAACTATTATTCTATGACTCTATGAAACCCTGGAGAGCTATTGCCAGACAGACCAGGCACAATACTGGGGCAGAGGGAGAAATAATTATTTATACAGTAATGAGAAAGTATAGCTCAGGTGCCTAGGCAAAAGACATTCCCCTCACAGATACTCTAACAGTTGAGGTTGTGGAAGGGCTGTCATGCAACCCATACATCTTTCCCACCCAACCAGAGTAGGGAAAATCAATAGCAGGAAAGCAGTAAAATTCGGTCCTTCGGCATATTCTCTCACTCACATTTTTGCTAAAGAATTTTGGGCTGTGCCAGAAACTCCTATTTCCTCCCCTAAGACAGAGCTGTTCTGAAGAAGTCTACATTTTCACATATCCCAATACAAAAGCACAAAAGGAGGCTATATTTTATAGAGGCCAATAATTATCCTACATATTCATGAATTCTCATATATCTGCCAAGACTGCTGAAAGAATCCAAGAAGAAACGAATACTTTAACAGTTTAGAAAAGGCAATTGATTTATACAATCTGGAGACCAGAGTAATACCTGAACTAACAATCCTCCAGTTCTTGGCACTTTAAAACTGCATTAGAACACAGCACCAGGAATTCTGGAGGTGCATTTAGAAAAAGGGATGCTCACTGTGGTGTAGTAGAGTGACAGACTAGGGAGAACACTTGGGTCTGAATTCTCCCTCAAGCATGGAAAAATCACTGGGGGTGTAGAACTAGTAAAACCACTCTTTAAATATCTCACCCATCTTGAAAGATCCATTCGAGTTGCTATAGGTTGGATTTGACCACCCATAATCACATACTTAGGAGAAGAATTCTAAACACACTTAAGGCAACAGAAGATCACATCACCAAGGAGTTATCCATACAAATCTTCTTCAAAATTTTGCCACTTAAGCGATAATTCACAACACGAACATACAAAAGCATGGTTTGAAGCACCTTAATAGCAAATTAGTTATACATAGGAAGCTTCAACACACCTTGTCTTCCTTTTTTTCATTCTTTTCATATGGTCTTCCTCCACCTTCTCCACCTCCATCACCACCACCTCCATCTCCTCCAGAACCACCACCACCAGTGCCGCCACCGCCACCGCCACCGCTGCCTCCTCCTCCTCCTCCTCCTTCGCCGACACCATCTGCATTTCCACTGAGTGGGGTAGCCCCAAATCCGGATGCTGAACTACTCAGGGCCCCCTTGAGTTGGAAGGAGGTCTCGCTTTGTCTCTTTTCACAGGATTCGTTCTCTTTGTTCTCACTTTTCCTTCTGGTCTTCTCCACACAAGGTACTACACCAAGCTGAAGCAGGCATTCCACAATATTTAGGGCTACATCACAGATTCGAGAGCTGATGTCATGGTTTAGGACCAAATATACAGCCTTGAGAACCACCTTGGAGGGTAAAAAAAACACCAGAGGTTGCAGACAGCTTGACTACAAACAGCTCGACTGTCAATTTAAAGCATGCAAAATCCAGACTAAAATGCAGTGGGGGACTTCTCCGTTATATTTTTGCATTGAGTTGCAGATTTCATTACACTGGAGAAATTTTTACATGCATTGTATGCCAGATCAGAGGGATTTGTGGTGTAGCATGATATGCTGTGAACTGAGGCTTTTGTACTCTCAGTCAAATCATGATGATGATGATGATGATGATGATGATGATGATGATGATGACTTTTGTACTCTCAGTCATCATCATCATCATCATCATGTGCCATCAAGTCAATTCTGACTTATGGTGACCTTTTCCATGGTTTTCTAGGTAGAGTTTATTCAAAAGTGGTTTACCATTCCCTTCTGGGGCTACTTCTGGGACTGTGCAGTAAAAGAGTAATGTACTATAGCTATTATTGGAAGAGCACTGTGGGACAGAAACATAGATGGTTACATAGTTCAGCAATCATCAGCCTCTTTCTTTCTCCCTCTTTCTCTCTAAAGTGCTCTGGCCAGCATCTCACTCATTTACAACATCATGCAAGAGCAATTATGTAAACAAATCGAGCAAGCTTCCAGCAAGCTCTCCTTCATGCAGCTCCTGATCTCATGCTAGCTATGAGATCATGTGCACAGCAGGATGGGCAACCAGTCTTGCAAATGGAAGCCTGCAGAAGGAGTGGAGGAATGCTGCAGGATTGCCTATGCAATTTTTCTCCAAGTCAATTTTGGCCCCTAAGATTCAGAATTACTTCTCTTCTGGTTTCAGCACTATGCAGAAAAAAGATCAGCAGCCTCTGTTATTAACATTGTGTGGATGAAGGGAGGAGGCACGTGGAAACATGTTGCATTTCTTAAGAGAAACAACAGCCTTACCCTTTAGCCCTAAAACTCTTGTACTTGTTGCAACAAGATTCTTGTTGCAAGAATCGGGAGACTGGTTGAGCCTTCTTTAGAGGCTTCTTTTAATATATACAAATGGAACCCTGAGTGTAAAGTTTTCCTATGGGCAAGGATTTTAGATGGGATCCATCCCATTTGAAAGCAGTTCATCATGATAACAACAGTATACCTTATGCTTCCAAGATAATTGTGAAATATGAGGAGAGATTGATTAACTGGCTATCATTGGAAAAAAAAAGAAGACAAAAGACAGACAAACCAGAAAGAAAAAAAATGAAATGGTTGTTGTGGGTTTTTCGGGCTCTTTGGCCATGTTCTGAAGGTGTGCTCTTTTGCTTCGCAGTGTTTCCAGTCTCCGGGTCTGTCTGACTGTTTCCTCCC